GCCAAGAAAGAGCAAAAGTTCCTGAGTTCAAGCCCCAGTATTGGCACAAAAAAAACAAAAATACATTATAAAAAGAAATTATATGCAAGTATCTAGAAAGGTCCCTTTCAATCATACTGACAGAGTCTTATACTTCCAAAGGACTGATGAATCATTACAGGCATATTCAGAAAGTGCTTAACATGGATCTATGCTTGATAATTTGATTTTAAAAGGCAGTGTGACTTACCACAGGAATCTTACTGTCTTCGTGGATTTTATGCCTCATTTTAGTCATAAACCTGAATAAGAAAATGACTCAAAGAAAGTGGGCTGAGGCTGTAGCTCAGTGGTAGGGCACTTGCCTACAAATATAAGACCAGAAAAGAAGGGGAAAGGGGGAGGAGAAAGAAGACAAAGGAAGAATTCAGATGTACTTTTATTGTTTTTTTTGGACAAAGGCCCTAACTCACTACGTCTGTGCTAACACTCATCTTTAGGTTCAAGTCAAGAAACTTATAGAAATGGACTAGATGTTAAGCATTTGGCTTCACAACCTGAAATTCGGGAGGAAGTATAGAAGCTAAGCATACAGATCAGACTGAGGAACTAGTTGAGGAAGGCGGGTTTTTCAGAAGCCACAACCTTTGCCGCATGAATCTCTTTCTTCCTCTCCCTCTTCCCCTTCATTTCCCTCTCCCTCTCCCTCCCCTCACACCCTGAGCCACCTTAAGTGAGGAGTCACGTGGACAGCTGGTGGTACTAGGCTGGCAGAGAGGACTGAAGTGGTTTGCTATAGAACTATTAATGTGAGAATCAAAACTCTTAAAGCAGCCCCCAAAGCCAAGGGACAAGATGAAATCATAAGCCACAGTTTCTGTCAGGTACTAAACACCATGAACTCCGGCACGCTTTTCTTCCTAGGCTTGCACAAACATCTGGAGTAAATATAAATCTTGTTTTCCATTGTTTTTGTTTGGCTCAAAGCAGATGGCAATAAAGACACAGCAACTGCACAAGCCATTTGTCTATCAATGGTAGATGTTTCAGGCCTTCTTTAAATACTGTTAAGCTTGGTTCTAAAATGTCTTATACACAATTCAGTGTGTGATTAAATACCATCAGCAATCGAGACAATCTAAGGGTCAATCTATATGTCCTGGACAGGAAGGAGTGGAGTAGGAGATCGAAACCTGGACTGAGCTTCAAAATACGCATCACTTTGGGATCCTTGGAAGCGTCATCCAGAAAGAAGCCAACAACCAGGAGAGAAATATTTAAAAGCAGCAAGGAGGCCGCTCTGATTGAGGGGAAAGATTTTGCAAAAAACAACGAAGAGAAAGAAGCTAGGAAAACCAGCTCGGGGCATAGTGAGGAGATCCTTGAGAACCAACAGCTTCATGCTTTAGTCTTCATTTCCTGATCACCCGAGAACATTTTCTGAGAAGGATTACTTCACAGAGATGTCGAGGAGAACCAGTGTGTAAAATGGATGAGAAGTAGAGAACTCGTTAGGACTTGCGCCAGGTAGGACAAACTAGGAATCTAACAGGTGGCCTTGGGTTCTGAAAAGTGAGCTGAACACGGATAGCAATGTGATACAGCAAAAATCCTATCTTAATGTAGAGCTTGAGGTGAGGTCATCAGGAGAACAGAGGTAAGGCTAATGGAAGAATGAAAAGACTTCAGAAGAAAGGCAATGACGAGTTTGAGAGTTAAGTTTAGGACAATGGTGACTGGTCCTATCTCCAGACCCCACTCCCAGAGGCACACAGCGTAAAGCTCAGGTCCTGGCTGAGAACGTTTCCGGAGGAGCATTCCCACAAAAACCCAATTAAGAGAAAATCTCTCTCCCTGGTTGCAAAAGCAAGTTCAAGTGGATAAATCGTAAACATGAAAATAAAACAAGTACCCAAACTGCTGACTTCTTTAAAAACACTATGATCTCACATTCACATGCTTTGGGTTTTGTTTTTTGTTTTTTTTGTCATTTCTTTTGAACACTATTACTTTATGAAAAGATGCTCAGCATTATTTAGCCTTAAGGGGAACTAGGAATGAAAACCACCATCAGACACTATTAGCCAGTTGATTTTTTTCAAATCAACTAACAAGTAATAATAGAGACAGAGCCCCTGGAACCTGGGTGGGAAGGAGGGATGGGGGCGTCACCGTGGAACACACCTTCCTAGTTCCTTATAAAATCAAACACATGCTTTCCTTGTAACCCATCAGCACCACACCCTGGTACTTCTAAAAACCAACATCTACACAAATCTACAAGCAAATCTTTAGAGCAGTTTTTTCATACCCACCAAACCTGGAAGCATCCCACATGCATATTAGTGATGAATGGAAAACCAAAGAGCTGCACTGCACACGGACTTACCTTGAAATACTACAAAGTGATTTTAAAAAATTACCAATGAAGAATCAGCATGAAGAACATCAAGAGTTCTACTGAAGTGAAGGGAGGCACAAGATGCCCTGTGATGGATATGTACTATCTACTAAGGGAACAGTATGGAAAAGGGGAAAACACAGGTTTGGAGCAGAGGGAACACTGAGGGAACTTGGGAGTGCTAGAAAATACTAATGTAGTGGTGGTTCCCAACATCTGTCAAAATTTGCAAAAATGCACACCTTTAAGGAGTGAAGTTTATCATGTCTTATTCCTCAAGAAGCTCAAGTTCAAAAATACATGGCATCTTCATATATGTTTTTAACTTCTTTTAAGCACAGCTTGATATCTATGATTGCCGTGACATGACGTGTCTTAACTAGGTAGAGTCCTCCATATGTCCTTAACAGGGGAAGAACTGAGCCTTGTGCCTTCCCCTCTCTGGGCCTCCAGACAGTCCTGTAATTCACAGAGCTCAGGCATGAGGATGGCAGAGCGTGCAGATCTGGGTGAATACTGCTTATTGAGGCACACATAAAGTGAGGCTTGTTTGCTGGACAGCTGTTGGCTTATTGTTCTCTGCCACACACTAAAAGGGAGTGCTGGTATGCTAATGGAATGTGACCTTCTCATTGGATGGCTGTCACTTCATGCCTCAAAAGGCTGCCTGAGAAATCTATTTTCATCATGCACCACACAGAATAACATACTCAGAACAAAATAACAATAAAAGACCAAAAAAGCTATGTTAAATAAGTACTACTACCTCTTGAAATCAGATCACATATAAAAACTATTTCTCAATAGTTAATGTTATTTTTATTTTATTTTAATGTTATTTTTATTTTTATTTTGTCAGTTGTGGGGTTTGAACTCAGGGACTGGGTGCTGTCCCTAAGCCTCTTTGTAATCAAGGCTAGTACTATGCCACTTGAGCCACAGTACCACTTCTGGTTTTTGAGTAGTTAACTGGAGATAAGAGTCTCACTGGCACTTTTCTGCCTGAGCTGGCTTTGAATTGCAATCCTCAGATCTCAGCCTCCTGAGTAGCTAGGATTACAGGCATGAGCCACTGGGTGCCCACCTAATATTGTTTTTAAGAGTAATGTTAGTAGGGTGCTGGTGGCTCATGACTGTAATCCTAGCTACTCGGGAGGCTAAGATCTGAGAATCATGGTTCAAAGCCAACCCGGGCAGCAAAGTCCGTGAGACTCTTATCTCCAATTAACCACCAGAAAACCAGAAGTGACACTGGGGCTCAAGTGGTAGAGTGTTCGCCTTGAGCTGAAGAGCTGAGGGACATTGTCCAGACCCAAAGTTCAAGCCCCGCAACCAAAAAAAAAAAGTCATGATGTATATAAATTTATTATTCTTTAGTGTATAACTTCAATAGAGTTCAAATAACTCATGACATTCTTCAAAAGATATTGTGTATGATGATTTAGTGAATAGTAATTCTATACAATTATGGATTCCTTTTGTTTGACTTTTTCTAACGACTAGATTTTTTTCTTTTCTTTCTTTTTTTAGGGCAAGGAGGACACCAGTCCTGGGGCTTTAACTTGGGGCCTCCAGTTCTTACTAAGCTATTTTGCTAAGGCTGACACTCAACCCTTGAGCTCTACCTCTAATCTCAGCTGGCTAACTGTTGGTAGCAGTCTCTCAGATTTGTCTGCATAGGCCGACTCTGAATCTGAATTCTCTGATCTCAGCCTCCTAAGTAGCTAGGATTATTATAGGCAGCAGCCACCAGTGCCCAGCTAGCTATCCAGACACCGTGCCATTTTACCTTTGGTTATTTATGAGTCATTTTTACTTCACTAAGATCTTTCTATCTTTTTTCACCATTAGCCCAGCAAGAAATACATAGAAACCCAATAAAATAGGAATTCAAGAACATGCACACAGGTATAACATGAAAGTTTTCAAAAATAGTACTTTTCCTTACCATGTAAGAGGTTCTTTAATATTTTATTAGTCTTTAAAACGCTGGCATTTAAAGTACATAGGTATTATGTACTTAATATCATGCTTCACACCTTTCAGTATCCCTGTGGCAAAGCCTAATGCAAAGTCTATGGGTAAGCAGATTTTAAATTATTTTTCCTTCCTGAACAAATGAGTGGTTTCTCCAGGAGTTACTCACGAGTGCCCACACTGCTGTTTCTCACTAAGGGCTCCACATCTTACTGGGAACCCCATAGCCTCCTCTTGCCTGCTTGATGTGTCTCAAGGAGTCCTGGCCTTTCAATCATTCATGGCCTCGCTGTCTTTTCTGTACTCTTGCCGATGTTATATTCTCTCTCTCTCTATTTTTCTCTCTCTTTCTCTCTCTCTCTCTCACACACACACACATACTTGTACACTTACACAGTGAAATAAAACACATATGTGTGAAGAAAAACAGCAGTAATACGGAAATATGCAAAGACAAAGCTGTTTCTTCAGTCCTGCCTGCTCTGTGCATTCCTAATACCAGATGAGACCAATGGAACAGGCTCACTGTGTGCAAATCACGTGCACAAGATCTTCTCAGCTGTAATACTGAGTCTTAAACTCACCATTATATTCTATTGGTGAAAAACAGACAGAGATTGCATATGAACCTTGAAAAACTTACTTTTAAGGACTCCCACAAGGGAAACTGGACCAAAGAGAAAGGAATCTGGGGAAGGGGAGAAAAAAACAAAATAGGTGAGAAAAATCAGCATTTGTCTGGCATTCTTTGTTGTAAAACGCTGTAATTATCAGAGACATTTAATTTTAACTTTAATATATGTGTATACAACTTTACATATACATACACATACATACACATAAAAATAGCCAATATTAAGCAAATTTATGCAGGTTGAGAAGAAGAGGAATAATGTAGTTATAAACCCTCTAGTTTTTCTAGCCCACACACATCAAGTGACAGTGTGAAATGGAGGGAAAAGCACATGTGGACAAGTCCTGGGCACTGAAACACAAAAGCCTGTATCCCAATGGACCATTCCCGTAAGCCTGTGTGCCATCCACTCTGGCCCAGTGGGCCAAAGCTGCAGTGACAATGCCCAGGCACACTCTGGCCCCAATGATGTCATCTGTCTTTAGCTCAGTCCCTAATGGTGGTCAGTGTAGACTTGAACCTATGGCAAGTGTGAAATTAACAGGGATTTGCTTCTTATTAGGGTATGAAGTTGCTTCTCAAGTTTTTGTATTTAATCAGAAACTTAAAAGTCCAGCAATTAATTCTGCTAGAGTAAGAGGGAAGCTTGAGTTTGACCGTTACCACAGAAAGAAAATCTGCCTTCTATTCAGAAGGAAATGGCAAAGAAAGAGAGAGAAAAATCAATGCTTTTAGCTTGAATTAACTGTCCAAGTTCCACTAGAGAAGTCAACTGTAGTTTAGTTGTTTTAGTTATCAAACACAAAAGGATCGACATGGTCTGATTCGAACATGAGCTGTATTTTCAATTAATTATCAAAACTCCAAACTTGATTATATAATGTTACCTAAAGCTTTTCTAAATTTCTAAAAATGTATTATATATAATAAAACATGCCCCAAAGGACTAACTGGTAGTATTATAGATTATTTTCTTCTCTCCTAACAGAAATATGAATATTTCACATTTGTAAGATGAAAAAAGCTTTAAAATTTATTGTAAGATCCTTTCTAGGACTATTCTTGTTTAATATAACCCTTAAAATTTTAGGATGATAAGTCTGAATGTTATCTGCACTTACTGTGGTACTTAATGCTGTTAGATTGTACATTCTATGGACGAACACTAAGGCTATTTTCCTCTATTAAAGTTATTCATCAAATTGTTCCTTTGGTTTAAAGAGGTAATTTAAAAATCACACATCTGGAATAGCCAAACAATTCCAGTGGATATTTATTTTAAAAAGCAAACCAACAGTAAACCTCAACTTTACTTTCTAAACCAAAATTAACTGACAGCCGAAGACAATTAAATATGCTATAAATGCTTAAATAATTAAATTTATTTTTGGCTTCCAGTAAGATAAACTCCTGATGTGTGAAAATTCTTCAAAGTTCTTCAAGCTGAATTGTGTTGCACACTTGCTGTCATTTCCAGGATAGAAAACCATGGTGGAAATGTGCTGCACACATGTGGAAGAACTGTCACAAACAGCTCCACAGTGAACACAAACGCTTCCCCTGGCCTTAGCACAACACAGCGCCCTGCCCTGCCCTGCCTTGCCCTGCCCAAGAGCTAGCTTCTCCCACCCCCCAGTCAGCTCTGCAGTTACACAACAGTGATGGTTCTTCAAAATGTGCAATGTTATACCCCAAACAGCTGTAAACTGTTGTTCTACTATGTTTTATAGATGAAGAAAATGAATAGCTCCACTCAGAAGTCTTCTACTCCAAAACACAGCATACTCAGGTTATTGCACCAAACATTACAAAACCACTCACTGTCATGACCTGTTTAAAGCCACCGCGTAAGATGTTGTGTTTGAATAAGGTTGTTATGACCCAGAGCACTAATAAGTGAGAGGCCATAAACCCAGCCACCATCAAAGATGCAGATGTGGAGGAAATCTGCTAAAACACAACCTGGGCTCCACTTAGCAACAAACAAACATCGCAACAACTGTACTCCAGCAATTACTGAGGATTCCAGGGAAGGAAGATAAAGAGAAAGCTATGAGGTAAACAGGAGGAAGGGGCATAAACAATGTATACAATTATGTTATGAACACTCCTTTTTGGTGGCTGTTGTTATCTACCATCTTATGAGCGCTCCTTACCTTTCCTCAAGTATTGGACTGTAACTCTAGAGTCCTTCAAAAGCAAGAAAGCTATTTATAATGGCAGAGTCATGAAGATAGAATTTCTAAGGTATCATTTACCTTAAAATTTTACTTTTCAATAGAACTCACATCAGAATACCAGTAAAAAATCCAGTGTACTGCCTAGTAAGAATGACGCCCTGTGTTCAAACCCCAGTATTGAGAGAAAAAAAAATTAAAGAAAAGGAAAAAGAAAAAAAAGTCTTAACTATAAGTTGCAATGCACACAACATCATTAAGTGACCTGGGAAGCTTAAAGAACAAACAAAATCATTTCAAAAGCTGTGTAAGTTACCATATATGGCAGAAACAACCAGAACTCTCCAGGAGTAAGCTTTTTAAAACTCAAGAAAACTGTGTGCAAGACCTCCATTACAAAGGGTTTGAAAGTCAGCAAGGAAGTGGTAGGGTTGCCACAGATACAGTAGTGGGTGCAAGGGCTGGGCCATTCTCATTTCCAAGAGATCCTACAAATGACTCACAGAAGAGCTTCCTGCGCTGCCTGACAACTTCCAAGTCGCTGTGCTTGGCTAGGGTTGTGTCCATTAGTATCCCACTGTGCCTTTACTCACTCCACTTTGGTGGTATCCAAGAGTAAGGGAAGGGAGGCTCAGATCTCCTTGGCCCATAGTGACAATTAAAAAGTGCAAAAAAGGGCTAGGGATTTAACCTAGTGGAAGAGCCCTTGCCTGACAAGTGCAAGGCCTTGAATTTGGTCCTCAGCTCTGGAAAACAAAGGAGCAGGGAGGAGGAGAGAAAAGAAGGAAGGGAGGAAAAGACAAAGTATAAGAACCTCCAATGTAGATTGCTAGCATTTGACCTATCAGCAAAGAATTTTAACCATAAATGCCCTTTGTGGATTTATTTCTTTGTTTTGCTTAATTGCCTAAATGGTGATCTTTTCATGTAAGCTACTCCTCCTGTCCTGGTTTTTGCTATTTATTTTAGAAATTGAATTTCAAAGGCTCTTCCACCTAGGCTGGCTTCAAATCACAATCTTCCATACTGCAGCCTCCTGAGTGGCTAAGATTAGAGGTATAAACCACTGGTGCCTGTTCGTGTTTTGTTTTGGTGCCACAGCTGGGGCTTGAACTCAGGGGCCTAGGCACTGTCCCGGCGATTTTGTGCTCAAGGCTAGTGTTCTACCTCTTGAGCCACAGCTCCACTTCTGGCTTTTTTGGCTGTCAGTTGGTGGTAAGACTGATAATAAGGTGCCCAGGCTGGCTTTGAACTTCAATCTTCAGATCTCAGTCTCCTGAGTAGCTAGGATTACAGGTGTGAGCCACCAGTGCCCAGTCTTCCTTTCGTGGTTTTTAATTAACTACAAACACATATGTGTACGTGCGAGCGCACATGCGCGCGCACGCTTGTCAGTGCATGCCCATCGAAGAAGCAGAGAAAGGAGAGGAAGAGTCTACTGTGCAAGTAGCAAGTACATCAGAGTCTGTAAGTGAAGAACCTGAAGCTGCTGCCAATCACTAACTCAGTGCCAGAGGCAAGGGGGGAAGGTTGCTCATACACAGTGACATTATGATGAGATTTTTCTATCTCTATAGTCTACAGCATCACCATAACAATCTAGGTGAAAGTAGCTCCTAGGATATCATTTTCCACACTGGTGTTCTCAACTATATGACAGTATTTTATCATATTATTTTGTTGTAATATCAGATTAGTCTGTAATTCACTACAGTCTGGAAATCCTGAAAGCAAATCTCTCATATTTTAAATGTAAGTATGTAACCTATTATGATAAAACTACTCATCAACGTAAGAAGAGACAAGACCAGGCACCAGTGGCTCATGGCTGTAATCATAGCTATTCAGGAAGCTGAGCTCTGAGAATCACAGTTTGAAGCCAGTCAGGGCTGAAAATTCCATGAGACTCTTTTCTCCAATTAATCAGAAACAAGCCAGAACTGGAGGTATGTATCAAGCGATGGAGCACCAGCTTTGAGCAAATAAACTAAGGGACAGTACTCAGACCATGAGTTAAACCCTAGTACAGGCACAAGTAAAAATAAATAAACAGACCAGGTGGTTCCTGCCTGCGATTCTTCCTAGCCACTCAGGAGGCTGAGATCTGAGGATGGAGGTTTGAAGCCAGCCCCAGTACTCAAGTCTATAAGACTTAACCACCAAAAAAGCTGGATTGGAGACATGGCTCAATTCATAAGAGAATGGCTCAGTCATAAGAGAAAAAGCCTAGAAAGAGACCCAGTACTACCCCCCACTCCCATCCCCCCAAAATGGGAGTGAACATGAGAATAAATATCTCTATTTTCTGTTCTGCAACTAATAAAGGTGAAACCTCTCATATTAAAACCCAGAATCCTGGAAATCATTATTTTACTATCTCTAGGGGAAAAAAAAAAAACTAACTGAAAAAGTATATTATTTCTAGTCTTGGTTGTAGAGCCTGAACTCAAGGCTTGGGCTCTGTCCCTGAGCTCTTTTGCTCAAGGTCTACCACTTTGAACCACAGCACCACTTCTGGGTTTTGAGTGGTTAACTGGAGAGAACAGTCTCACAGAGACATTTCTGCCCAGGCTGGTTTCGAACAGTGATCCTCAGATCTCAGTCTCTTGAGTAGCTAGGATTGCAGACGTGAGCCACCAACCCTTGGCTAGTTTCCTTTTTACAAATTAGGAAAGTAGGTAAAAATGTATGAGAGCTATAAAATAAGTGAAAAATGAGTAATATCTTAAAGACTTAAAGCAATTTGGTACAGTGCTCAAAATAGAAAATGGTTTGTGAGTGAAGTTATTGTGTAAGATATTGCTGACCATTCTATGGCTTTACAAAGTAAAACAATAAGTGGTATTTTTTGATGAGGCTCTTTTCTTAAAAGGCTGC